GGAGGAGTCGGACTACACCAAAGGTAATGCAAAGGAGTTGGGAAACACAATAACACAACAGAGCCGAAGTTTCCATTTCTCTAAACCTAATTTTTTCCTTATTTTTTCCAATGCTTTAGTGAGATTAAAAGATATAGCTGAGCCACATAAGCTGCATAACACTACCAATTCTTGAAAGGTCATAGTTGTTTTCATAACAGAAACTAAGTTGCTGCCCGTTTTCCTGATGCTGCCCGAATAATTATTAGTGTTTTTTCTGTGTAGTAATAACCTGACATTTCATTATTTTTATATGCCATTTGTGTATAAACGCAGCATAAAATTTTATGATTACTATTTACAGAAAGATGATGTCACTCTGGAAGAGGCAAAGACATGCCAATAAAAGAGGGGGAGGATGGCAGGGAGGGGGTAGTCACTTTAAAGAAAAAGAACATAAAATGTCCTGGTGGTATATTTCTAGGCTACGGTGCTGCAGTTCTTTTAAGCTTTTGAGACAGAAAATAGAAAAGCTCAAGAGGAAGAGAGGCAGACAGAAAAGAGATGCCGGCTGTTACATAATTACAAATAAAGGGAAAAAAGGGGGTTTTCAGCCAGGCACACAACACAATCCCAGATGAAACTAATGTTCAGATGGAAATATACAGTAACAAGATGCCTCTCATTGGAAGAGATCTGTAGTTCCCTTTTGTCTTTCCATATATTTTTCCACTCCGGCTCATGCAAAAGAAAAAAACTTATTTTGACATATGTAGTGGGAGTAGAGTTTCAGGTTGTGAAGGGATGAGAGCTGGGATTGGCTGGGAGTCTGTGCTGCAGGAAACCACAGGATGTGAGTCTGGCTGTAGGGAGCTAAGCTGCAGTCTCAGACCGGCAAACACACACACACACACACACACACAAACACATAAAAACAAAGCAAACGTACAAAACTACAACATCAAGCACAAGGACGCCAAGTACACACTACACCGCCGAGTCAATTCCAACTCCTTATTTTTCTCCTTGTCTGTTCTGAAATCAGCTTTAACATGCTCTCCTCAGGGATTTCGCTGAGGATCGTTTTCAAAGAGGGATGGAGAGAGAAAACAGCAAGAGGGGAGACAAATTAAGTGAGAGGATGAGAGAGCGAAGGAGGGCAATAAAAGGAAAGAGTTTGTCCTGCTTGAGAACTCCGCTTGATCTTATGTAGTATATGTTTTTTTTTTTTTTGTAGTATAGCTGGTCTTTGTGATGGCTTTAAGAAGATTAAAAGCTCATTAAAAAGCTCATTAAAAAGTAATTACATGCTGTGGCTCCATATATGCATTCAAGGTAAGGGCTGCTTGTGTATCATGCCAGAGCATTCAGACATTGAGTCAAAAGTACAGTCAGGAAAGCACTTCACAAGAGAAAATGAAACAAGGAACAGAACCTCAAACATCCTTGCAAAGCAAAACACATTCATCATAAATTATTCTAAAGGAAGTGATTCCATTTAGTGTCTTTACTCTCTCGACACGTCTTTTAATGGCTTTTCAAAATGAGTTATTTCATGAAATAGAAACACTGGGACAGACTTAAAGCTGATGGAGTTTCCATGTTTCTCTTAAAATCTCATTCTCTCTCTCAAGCTTCTCTGATTCCCTCTTTCAAGCTCAAACCTGATCCCCTCTTTGTTTGTCTAACCCCGACCCTTTTCTCCCTGTGTCCTGTAATCCCCTGATTACAGTCACTTTCATTAGCTGAAGGCTGTTTCTGCTGAGTTGAGCTGTTCTCCACTAATAACGCTAAAAGCTACGGGCTGTGTATGTCACTGTGTAGCCTGGGTACCTCAAACACAAACTGACTGGTACCACGCTAGGATTGTGTACGCACATTAAAGGAATAGTTTGGCATTTTGGGAAATGTTTGCTTTCTAGCAGAGAGTTCCATGGGGATCAATACCACTCTCATGTGGTCATTAAATATGAAGCTATAGCTGGCAGTCACGTAGCTTAGCATGGCTCTGTCCTAGGGTAACAAAATCTGTGCTAACAGCACCACTAAAGCTCCACTATTGACATGTTGTATCTTGTTTGTTTTGTCTGTACATAATCGGTTAAAAATGATATGTTTTATGGGTCCTTACGAGCAGGACTATATCTTGGCCAGTAACTTCATTGAGTCGGCGGGCTGCCTGGCAACTGCTCAGAGGCAAGGGATATTCTGGCAGATTACCCCCTGTAAAACAACCATTTGTTCTTTTTTTTTTTGCACTTCAGTCTTTGTACAGATTAAATAAACAAGATATAACATGTCACATGCAAAAACAACAGGAAGTTATTGTATTTGGCCCATTGATTCATTTGGAGCTACAGCAGAGGGTGCTTTAAAAGCTTAAGGTCCTGACTGTCACAACTTTTACTCCTTCTCTGAGTCATATCTCAGTCAAATCTGAACACACAGACATGATACACATATTTTTTAGATTCAATGTGATTTATGATTTGACACGTGGGATAACAGTATCTCCATGTCCCTTTCAAATAAACCAGAACTTGCTTGAGAATTGTCAAGTTTTAAAGTTTTCTTCGATTTCAAAGTAACCCAGTGATAGTTATCTGTGCTTCCATGGGTACACTGCAAACAGGAACTGCTAATAGCTAATCTGGCATACTTTTAATGGTGCAGATTAGCAAAATGTAAACAAATAAAGGCTAAAAGAACGGGGCTCAAGTTGTAGCCCATAGCTAACTAACTGACACCATGACAAGGCGACATTTTACTTCCTGTTTACATCCCAAGCATGATTATCCCTCAAATAGAAGTCGATAGATTAATATCAATTAATATCAAGTTTTTTCATGTTGCACTATCGATATTTTTTTTACATTAGTAAGGTTCAGAATGTCTCATCAACATGGTTCTTATATTGCTGACAATTTGCTCAACAGGTGTGTGCCCCGTGTCAAAAATCTGATGATATTCAGACCAAAATCTCATACATGAGAGGGATAAATAATAAGCACATTTCCCAAAATGCCAGACTATTCTTTTAATGTATGCTTCATTGCAGAATGATTTGCTTACACTATATGCTGCCAGTTATTTCTGTGTGTTGGTAGAGTACAAACAAACGTTGTCTTACTTTTCATCCATGTTGACTGAGTTCCTCAACGTAAACGGGACGATCTCATTGCACGAGCCCTCCTTGTCGTCCGCTCTCCCATTGGTCTCGATGAAGGGGTCCAGGCCTCCGTTGACCGATGCGTCTGGTTTAGTGCTGTTCTCCAGGTTGAGCAGGTTCAGGTAGGACTCGGCGCAGTCCACTTGGGTGGGGGAGAGGGGTGAGGTTTGGAGGGGCCATGAGGGCGTGGAGGTGATGAGCTGGTCCAGGGCCTGGCTGTAGTGATTCTTCAGATTCAGAGACAGAGACTTTACTGATGTAGAAACTGAGCTGCAAGATGACTGTTGACCATCTGGGATAGACAAATAACACAGAAGACAGCTCAACAAAACGCCACAAGTAAAGAGAATAACAAGAAGAGTCAACCAACGTGTTACCTTTTTCTTTTTCTAAAGATCTCTCTAAGTGCTGACTCCCATTACAGAAAGGAGGAGTTGGCACTGTGCCAGTGGCAGCACTTAGGCCAGCTATGTCTGAGATTAGTAAGATTAGCATTTTCCATCAGAGGGACTAACATGATTAATACAAGCATGAAACATGTGTGTGTCATTTTCAGAATATGCACACTAACACACGTCAAAACACTTAGTATGTACACAGATTGATAAATACACGGCTCTGCCCACTGTGTGTGCGGGAGTGTGAGTGTGTGTGTGTGTGTGCGAGTGGTTACTCATTATTATTTTGGCAAGACTGTCCATTCTTTTAGCTGCTGTAAATACATCCCTCCACCAAAAAAGTGTGTCTTGTGTGTGTGTGTGTGTGTGTGTGTGTGTGTACCAAAATAAAGGTTGTAAACACAATCAAAACTCTCACTGAGAACTGCAGCCTGTGAGTATGAGATAATGCTGACAGAATGGTTTTACATCCACTGTGATCACATAATCTGCTATTAGTTTAGTACAGAGATGCTATTGTGTGTAAAAATATGTTGTTTACACGCGCTGTGTTACACAGAGAGAGCATGGTGATGCGTGGCCCTCGGCTTATGTAAAAACATTCATTTGAAAGTGATAATTTCAAGTGAATAATCCCATTCTGAAATATCACAGACACAGCTGCAGTTGGTACTGCATTTTTATATTTAGTGGGCACTCTATTAGGTATACCTGTAAAATCTAATGCAATCTAAGACAACAACTCAGCCATAAATTATAGCTTTACAAAGATAATATTATTCAGGTTTGATTGACACTGTCAGAGAATTATTCATTTTACTGTTTAGTTCCCAATGTGGTTGAAGTGGAAATGCATTGAGAAATGTTTCTAATATTATACCCACTCCATTTACAAACATGAGGGAGGTAGAATATTAGAAACACATTTCAATATAATGCAGTCTAGTCTAGTACAACACAACCACTGACTATGACCTCAGTTATATATATATAGGTGAAATAACACCTCTCTGACAGTGTCAACTGAACATAAGAATCTTTCTAACTGGAGAATTTGTAGCAGATCTGTTGAATTAAATTGTATGTACCTAATAAAGGCATAGAGTGTTATGTTTATGGCTCTATTACAAACAACATTACAATCTGTATGTTGTTTGGTCCACCTATTTAGTCAAGACTGAGTTGTATTTGCTCAATACTTTGTTCAAAACTTTGGTTTAAGACCAAATACCTGCAAAGGTAATGACCATTCTATCAGCATAACAGCTGTAGTTTGTATTTAATGCTGATAATCAAATGTTAGCATGCTAACAAAGTAAACTAAGTTTGTTTTCCACAAACGAGTAAAGTATAAAACAAGAGAATATAACATTTTGACAATCCGATCTGAAATTAGCTATATGAAAACAGAGAACTGTATTTATTTATGGAATTTTGGAAATTCATAGATGCCTTTGTGAAATTAAAATCCAATTAACTAACCAGAAAACATGTTTGAGCACCAACTTGCTGTCTTTCCCTTCTGTCTTACCCCTCTTTATCATTTAAATGATGTGGGCTTTTGCATTAGTCCTCATTATCTGTGACTTAAGTGTCTCCTTTGATGCTGTGATCAAGACATTTTCAGCATTAAACAAAACCTCAGTAGCATCTACAGGAATACATTAAACTGGTTTTGCTCACACCTGGTGGACGTTTTTTCTCCTTAGTGCAGATAGAAGTGAAATGCTCAATTAAAGGACACCCAGGTGGCACAATGGGAAAAGCACTCGTGCTCACCTGCAGATGGGGTTCAATCCCTGGCAGCTGTGCTTCTGCCTGTCAAACACACCTGACGATGTTTCCAGGCAGGAAGCCAGTGAGGGATCACGGTTTGTGTCATGAATGACTACACCATACCCTTGCCAAAAGGAGAGTGAGCAATGACAAGGACTGCAGCACACTGGGAACCTGACCTGACATGAATTCATCTGAGGGATTACAATGTTCCTACCAGTCACCTCTCTAGTCACTTACTGTGCCCATTAGCCTGAGGCTCCTGTTGTGGCTGCCCTGGTTGTGTTGTTTTTGGGGAGCGGGCCTCCAACTCCTTCAGCTGCTGCACGAGCAGGGCCAGGTGCTGCAGCAAGTCCCTGTTCTGCAGCAGCAGCTGGTGGACACGGGCTTGAGCCTCCATACGAGCAGCAGTCTCTGCTGCCATCTGATCCTTCAGTAACTGCACCTGTAGTGAAAAACACAAGGTGTGTTTGTTTACGGGTGAACATTTCTGGTTTGTTTTCTATGCAAAACCTAAAAGCATTATCTGTAAAAATGTTTGTTTCAATGGTTAGTTTTTCTGTCTCACGCCTTAAAGTAATGATCGGCTCATGGTGCACTGACTGTCCTTGCATTACTGTGTTGGTGCTGCCCCCTAGTGGACAGCATCAGTAAAATACATAAAGTGCATAGAGATAACACAGGGTTGCCGTGAGGTTCACACAGATTTTATCGAGACTTGAATAACAAACATACTTGATGGAGTGAGCAATGACCTGGTTGCAAAGATGAATATCACCTTCATAAATCTCAACTGCTATAGGGTTTTTACAAACAATTTATCCTAAATGTGGCATATAAATATGGTATTAGCCTCAGGCACAGTAAATGTGTACCAAGAGTGCTGTGAATCCTAAGGATGTATGGGTGGAGTAAATGCCAGTGTACATGTACAAGTCTAGTTGGCCAAATAACTCAGTTTCGTTTTACACCATACAGTATACTGCCAGATGTTATCAGTATTACTGAAGCCAAATAATGGTTAATAATTCATGCCATATTGGATGAAGTTAATCCACAGCACTTCAGCATTTCAGCTAGGGCTACTGAAATTGAAGTCAGAGTCAGGGTGAAAATAAATGATACATGCCCCTGACTTTGACTGAAAACAGGTGAATATCAAGGTGAATTTATCTGATATTGGTTCCCCTCTTTGAAGAAAGACTATGGATTTGAAATTAGCCTGTAAGTGGAAGATTATAAAAAGAGCACAGACTATGATAAATGCCAATCTCATTTATTTAAAAAATGTTTATGTGTATTTATAGAAGGACCAATCTGAGTGTAGCTGAAGCTGTTAATCGATTAATAGATTAGTAGATCAGCTGAAAAATAATCAGCTATTTTTGTAATCAATTCACTGTTTTAGTCGTTTGTAAAATAAAAAACGTGAAATTCTCACGTCTGAGGATTTGCTGCTTTTCTTTCTCTGTTTTCTGGTCGAACAAAACATCACATTTAACAAATATAACGCTGTACTAAATAAGAGTATTGAAATATGGTGATAATGTGTTTTCAGCCGGGCCTGCTGCTTTGTTTTACACAACCTGCACACTGCGCCGGTTTCTTACCTGCGCAACAGCCACCTGTGTGTGCTGCTGCTGCTGCTGTAGCTGCTGCTGAAGAAGCTGCAGGTAGTGCTGAGATGCCAGCGGAGTGAGAGACTGAGAGCGAGGGCTGCTGGGAGTAACGCCTTGGGATGTCACAGTGAAGAGGGACCTCCGATCAAAGTCCTGACCACAAACACACAGAAAAAATAAATATTGACACCAGTAAAATGGCGGTGAAAGCAACGTACATTAAGCGGAAATGATGGGTATATTTCCCCTGGCATTATATTCCCTGACACATTCTGTACCCACGGAGATAATCAAAGACATAATGTATTTCAATGGAATGTGCTGCCGTTTTTTTCATACTTGCGACATAACAGAAGCTATTTTTAGACCTTGGACACCAGCTGAATGCAATTAACCAACCAGTAGGATAGAAACCACCCAGTCTTCTGAGACGATGAGACCAGGACTGCGACCCACTGATCTCGAGCCCCATGGAGCCTTAAAAGAACCGGAATAATCCCTAAACTCATTATCGTCCCATATACTTTCTTCCTCTGCCTCCATTTATCTCACACTGTTTCTTTACTCTGTGGATGATTGTCCAGATAATTTTTGGTAGCACAAATGTTTCCTGGAGAAATAAGACGCTCCCTAAGCAGCTTTTCACTTCACCTCCTTGTCTCACATAGTTGAGACGGAGCAATGTGTCTCCAGGAATATCAGCACTGAACAAGAGAGATGGATTTTATGTGTGTGTGTGTGTGGACGTCTTTAGTGAGAAAGTACAGTCAAGTCATACGTAAACACATAAAATTCACATCTGTATAATTGCACAAATTGCCACTGCTGTCATGTAAAATTACTTGATATCGTGGTACATGGATTATTGTAACTTCTACATTGCACCACTAGATGGCAAAGTAGCACACTGTAAAGTACAGCACATTCAAGTGAGTGTTATCTTTAGAAGGGCTTCTAACTCAGTATATCAGACCTTTTAATTTAGCACTATGAAATTCTATTTCTGATTATCTAAAATAATAAAAGTTAATCTCACCAACACTGACACTGACACCAAACAGGATATTTGCTTAAAGACCCTTAAAAAACCCACTTTCTCAATAAACTTTTGACCATGAGTAATAGATCCTATTTAAACAGTAATTTTTTTTGCCAAAGTTCTAAATGTTTTGGTCATTTCAGGAGGGATTTCTATTTTAGTGTTTCTGTCTCTGCTCCTCTAAATGGACTGAAGTGGGTGGGAGTTAGTTAAAAAAGAAAAGTTGACAGTTGGCGGGTTGTTTGGTCGATCAAATCTAATCCGGCCATCCCAAAAAGTCGTGATGAAGCCAATAATCTGAGTTTGTGAGAGTTAAATGTTTACTAAATAGCTAATTATATAGAGAAATACACAGGTTTTAAAGCCAAGTTTTCAGGGGCTTTAACAACACTATAAACTACAAGTGCAAAAAAAAGTTGATTAATCGATCAGTCAATTATCAGATAGTTATTTGACCATGATTCTGATTATCAATTAAGCGTTTAAGTCATCAAGCAAAAAAAGAACAAACATTTAGGCTACAGGTTAACTGTAAATTGAACAACGTTGTGTTTAAGACTTTTGGTCAGACAAAACAAGCAACTTAAAGATGTTACCTTAGGCTGTGGGGAATTAGTAATTTTTTATTTACTATTTTCAGACATTAAATAGACAAAACAATTAAACTAACGAACGAGCAGACCAAAGCCCCTGAAAGATTTGACTGACAGTGGCCCGGCAACCTAAACAAACAAAACACCAACTGTCACCAGACTTTGACTCAAATGTTGCTCAACTGTGATTGGTGTACAGAATGATGTGACATCACTGTTTTCGAACTAAGCCCCACCCACCTCAAACCAGTGATAGGGGCTCAGACAAAAAAACATGTGAAATTACCTAAACTGTCTGACTTTGGCTAATGCAGTAGGGGACCATATTTTTAATAGTAAAAAGCTGATTGAGAAAAGCTTCCAGGGCCTTTAACTGATAATGAACATAATCCTACAGTCCTACAGACTGTGGCCTCAAGTGGATTCAACACCTCAGATGGTCTTGGAGGTGTTTCTGTTATTTTGTCCACCAATACAACCAGCATCTTGTGTAATCCATATCTTTCGGTCATTTCTTCTCCATTATCCTGATCTCTCATTGTTCCTTCCCACGTCTCTTTCTGTCCTTCCCTCTCTTTTTCCTCCCCACGCTCCTTGCTTATCTCCATAGAGCAGATGTTCGTGAACCCCTCGATGGGATTATGGTGGCGTTTCTCAGAAATCAAAGGGAACAGACTGGGTTTCTGGGATTAGGTGTCCCCCTTTTCACAGCCAGCAGGAATATTCAGGTTTCCCACTCCCTCTCTCTCTCCCACTCCCTGTCTCTCTCTTTTAGTAGCACGATAACAGCTGTGTCTACCACACTCGCTCTGGTGACAAATCCAAAGAAACACATCATGACACACCAAAGCCTGCATGTTTGCATCATTTCATCCTGTCCCTGTCATATGAAAGATAATTCGTCAGTTCCTAACTTCATAAGGATTTAAAGCCTGCCAAATATCAAACACAGAGAAACAAAACTGTAGTCTTTTTACCTCCATGCTAGAGTGACCAGGTTATTTCTTACCTTCGATATCTGCTGCCAACTTGGAGAGCTGCAGATCAATGATCTGGTCAGGTACTGCAGTAGATGAGAAAGCACTATACTGTACTTCTTCCTAAGTTCAATGAGCCATTTGGCAGCACTATGCCTAGATAATAGCATCAAAACACCACTAAAGCCAAAGCAGTGAATCAAAGCAGGGGCAGGCTCCTGTAGCTACAAAGCCAGAGGCACTCTGGAGTGAAGAAAGCTGTAATCATTAAAATGTGGATGCGGCTGTTACCTCACCCCTACTGCTGGTGTCAGTCAGTAATAAAGGGGGGAGGCCTCACTCCAACTGTGATAGAAACTAACTGTTATAAGAAGTTGAAAGTGCATCTCCAAGCACCACAACTGCACTGCTTCTACAAATACGTCCAAAAATTGTCTTAACCCCTTTCAAAAGACTAAAACATGCACAATAGCTGTAGTATCAGTAGAAAAGAACGACTGGTCACCTTCATACTGCAGGACTATAAGACAGCTATAATGTATCGAGCACAATACAGTGTACTTATTAGAGCGTTCTTGCCCTCAGCAGTTCAATGTGTGTGTGTGTGTGGGTCCCGCAGTATCTTACTATAATGGTCTGTCCAGGTTTGACCATGTTCAGTTCAGCCAGACTCTGCAGAATTTCACTGACTGCCTTTTCACACAGCGAAGCTCCAGCCGAAGGACTTTCTCCTCCTTGCCTTCCCCCATGTTTGCTCTCCTCCTCGTCCTCCCCTTGCTCTGCTCCCGTCAGTTTACGACCTATTAATGAATACATTGTTCGCTTTTTGAGTAATTTCACAACTACTGTGCAGTGTTTTGTTCCTGTTTAAAACATGGGCACTAAGTATCAGTGTCATTCAAAACACCAAAGTGACATTAAAGACACTGATGAAACAACATTAACATCATATCTAATATATTAATAAACCATACATGAGACTCTAACTTTGAATTTAGAGTAGGAAAAAAAAAAGGTTTTGGGAAATATTCCAGCCTTTATGCTAAACTAAGCTAACCAGCTGCTGGCTGGAGCCTTATATATAGCAGACACATATGAGATATATATAGAGGAGATATGAGGTATAAATCTTCTCATCTAAAGAAAGAAAGCAAATAAGCATGTTTCACAAAATGAACTTTTTTGAATATAAATACAGCTTATACAGTATATTTGTGCAATGTAATATCCTTCTGAAATACCATCCTTACAGTAAAATAATGCATTCAAGGCTATTAAAAAACATACAAACATGGTTGCCTTCATTTAGCTAACTAAACCCTAAATTAATTCTATTTTTGAGCACATACACAGCATTTTACCCCTTCTGCCTGTCACACAACTGTAGCTCAGTGCCAGACAACTATTCATTCACTGAGCAAATTACACTCATTACTACACTGGCAATCACCCTCTCGTGTTGTCCAATGACTCACACAGGGATCTTTCCCATCCTTCCCACATGAAATGAACGTAGCACAAGGCCTCTGAGTATACTCGAATCCAGATTGGTTTCATGTTGTCCCTTTAATCTGTTTATAGTCCAGTGTAACCGCACATTCGTGTTGCTACTGTTTGATCGTTGTGCTGAATTAATGAGCTAGTTAGGGTTGATGGCTCAATTTAGGCCTTAAAGAGGCGTGTAATCAGACTAAACGGACAAGGTCAAGCTTTAGTCAGGAGAGAGACGGTCCCCATGTGACCAAAATGCCCAATAAAGGCTCATAAATGCACATTTTTCACAATAACACTGTTCAGACCAGATGTTAAGGTAAAATGTGT